TTCAAACTATCCATGTTCTTAATGATTAAGTATATTTCTTAAGGTAGATAATTATATTTTTTTGTTTGTCCTATCTGACAATCTCTGTCTTTTAACTATTAATAGTAAATTTATACTCCATTCACATTTGTTTATTATTATTGATATACTTGAATTTGTTTCTGTCTCTTTGCTATTTGTCCTACTTTTACTTTTTTTCTACTTTCTTGCTATTTACAAGTTGATTATGGAGATTTTGTTTGCTTTTTTGTTTGCTTGCCCATTTTTCTTATTCCATGGTCTTCTCTCTTTTGGCTTGAACATTATAAACTCTAGTTTTGTACAGAATGATTGCCCTTAAAATTTGACCATGGATGCTTAACAAAATTGAAACTTAATCAATATCTTAATCTCTTCTTGATCAATATAAAGAATTAAGAATACTTTAACCAGATCATTCTCCTTTTAACTTACATACTGTTGTTGTCAAGCATGAAATTACTGACATTTTTCTAGCATCATAAATTTGTTGTTACTGCTGGTTCTCACTCATGGTACCTTGTTTCCTTTGGTTGGTGATCTTTGCTTTCCTCCTATTGTATCTGCATTTGCTAATAACTGGACCATGTTAGCCCTCACTGAGAGTTCTGGCTAAATAGAGGAGATCCCGTTTCAGTGTTCGCTCCCTGTTCGTATTCTAAGAATCAATCACCTGCAGCAATAGTATAGATATTTAACCAATCTGGATTTTTAAATTTCATTTTGCACACAGGTCTGTGATCCAGTTTTGGGTCATGTATTACTGAGAATGAGACACCTAAAGGATTTCACTTATGTCCTATAAACTCAATGAAGTGAATTAAAATCATAAATTTTGCCTGGCATCTAGTTCTTTTATAGTGAGAGGGTCTTTCAGAGGAATCAGTGATATCATGTTAGCTGCAGAAGTTCTATCATATGTGTGAAAATGTTTTTGTTTGCTTTGATATTTTGTAAAGATATTTCAATATAGTAGATATTAAAAACTGTCACATATAACAAATCGGTGAGCTAAAGCGATAGCTCCAAGTTTGTTCTGCAGTCACTTGAGGGAGTTTCAGCTCAAAGCTTAAGCCATAGAAGTGTATCTGTATGTAATAAGGAGGTAGTGAGTGACTAAAATACTCATTGTCAATAGCTGCTCTAAGAATAGTCCTTGTTTTTCTGTTCCCTTGCAATTAGCTCTTGGCTGCATGTAGTGCCCTCCATTGAGGCACAAATGATTTGTGACATCTGTGCAGTTACCTGTATGTCAGGATAGAAATAGTTTGGCCCTGAGGTTTATTACAATGTTAAAATATCACTTATGTGGAAAACATATATGACCTTAAAGTTTTAATTTATAATAGAAGGGTCTTCCTTTGTCCCTTCCATCAAGTGTGTCTCTTGGTTTTAGGCTGTTTTTGCTTCTGTTTGCTCCAATTAAGCCACTAAATCCAGTTTGAGAGAAAAATATTAATTTTTGTTTATTAGTTTGGTGGACTACTGTGTCTTACTTGTTAATAAGTGACACATCATTGGGTATTACATTTATTGAGCTCTTGGAGCACAGACTAAGCTCTAAAAAATAAGACACGAATCTCCTTTCACCTCACTCTTGCCTTGCTACTGTGTGAGAAATTGGCTAGGGATTGTGAAATACATGTACACCTTTTTATAAATAAATTTGTAGATGGTGAAAAACACAGAAAACAAATCAAGGAAGATTCAAATTATCCTAAATAAATGAACCAAACCTGCAGAATTCTATACAGTCTAAAAAGAATATTTATGAACATCATATTTGGTCTTCCCACTGTGCTGTCTATGGGACATTCCCTGAGCTTGTTTGAAATTTTCTAACCAAAAGGGTATTTTCAAAATATTTTGTAATATGATTGAGTTACTTTAGATGACAAGGAAATATCACTTTATACTAGCCTGCATACATTTAAAATAAAATAGCAATAGAGAATCTAATCTCTTTTACCATTAAAGGTTTAAATTTATTTTGCCTAGTTTTAAGCTTTTAAAAAGCATCATATCCAAAATCAAGAAAGGAGAAAACACTAAAATCATTGTTTATAGCAGTAATTACATTTTCCTTTGGATCATGTGCCTTTAAAACGTCTGAATGCATTGCTGTGCAAGTGTCATGTGTGTTTAAAAGATGCATAATTATTAGATACAGCTCTAGCATAGTGTCTTAAACACAAGCACCGGCTCCTGTTCAAAGTAAGAGGCTGTGACGGGCACCAAGCTGCCTATGAATGTGGCAGCAGGATCAAATTGTTGAATACGTTGACTCATCCGTGCAGGCTGAAAATTATGCTTCTTAGCCTGCTGTGAACATGTTTCCTCATTTTCTATTTTTTAAAAATTGTATCTTAGGATCTGCTTCAAAATATAGATGCCCACAAAAGAGCATTTCATGAAATCTACCGGACCAGGTCTGTTAACGGGATCCCAGTGCCACATGATCAATTAGAGGACATGGCTGAGAGGTAAGAGAATGTCTGGTTTTAAATGAAGTCTCTTTTTATAACACTAGGTGGATGCTTTATACGTTTCTTTTCTTTTCCATGAATTGTTTGTTTTTATTTTTAACAGAGACACTCACATTTGTTAAATAAAAAGTGGGCTCCCATAACATATGCTAATAATGTCAACATTCTAATATATTATTAACTGAAAAGAGTGAATCCGAATGTACCCACAGCCTGGAAATTACAGAAATGTTTTTTTCATAGGCTGTATTTTTGCTCAGTACTGTAAGGAACATTATGTAATATTGCAAAAACAGCCTATAAAAGAAACAGATGAGAGATGTGTTGGCAGGGGAAAGAACTAAATCAAAGACTTCAATCAATCATGTTTCTCTTTTAAACCCAGAGCTAGAAAAGGAATCAGATCTCTTCGTAATGATCCACCAGAGTTTAGAAGACCCTGTGGCTGCATTATATTTAAGGCTGGCATGTAACAGGTTGAGTAAGCATCATCCTGTTACTATTAGTTACATTCTGTAAATTCTCTGTGTTTTATTTCTAGGTTTCATTTTGTTTCCTCCACATCAGAGCTACACCTAATGAAAATGGAATTTCTAGAATTAAAGTACCGACTGCTCTCACTGCTGGTTCTTGCAGAGTCAAAGCTGAAGTCTTGGATCATTAAGTATGGGAGGAGAGAGTCAGTGGAGCTGCTTCTACAAAACTACATCGTAAGTCCCTGTTGCTTTGTCAGAGAAATCAGATGACCCATGGATTTAGCATCTAACACCTACCAGTTTATTTAATGCTGTTTAATCTTGAATTTAAACATAAAGATACCTATGTGTTAAATGCCTTAGATATGAAATAAGTTTATGAGCTTTTCACAATCATCTGAAATATAAACCTATATTCTTTGGAGTTTGATTCTTTAAAACCCCCTAGTTTAGAAAGGTTTTACTGCATTAATCATATTGAACCATTGTGACTGTCTTTATTGATTAAGAAGAAAAGTTTTTGTATTGCATACTCACATCTTTGATTGTAGCTCACTGTTGAAAGTGAATTAGGATACTTAAAGATTATCTTCATGTGTTCTAAAATCCAATCATGAGTAGTTTAGAACAATTCTCAATTGTCCACATGAAGACTATCTATTTTTTAGAGTAGATCCAGTGTGTCCTTTTCATGGTCATTCCCTGAGCTTCACTGTTCCTTGTGTGCACCCAGGAAGAATAAAATCTTGTCTAGGAATTTTTGTACCAACTTAATTTTTAAACATTATCTCATATTTTGGGCTATGAGTCTCCATAATCGTGTAGATACATAGAATCGTAGCCCTGCATTAATGAATGAATTGTGTTGTTCTGTAACTAGCAGTTTTCATTTACATGTAATTAGTGTATATATTTATTAAAGGAAGTTTATTTCTTAATCAATTAAACATGCCCTCCTTATGAATTTATTTGCAATGCAAATGTGCTCATAAAATTAATGTTAATAGGGCATCTTAGTCCTATACTGTTCCATTTACATTTAAACACAAATTCTAAATGATAAATCAATGCACTTTGAAACTATGAGCCCATTTATAACCTGATTAGTCACAGTGTCTCTGTAACAAGTTGTGCTCAAATACTCATTGAAATCATATTTTTACTGAAGCATCTTAGAACCATTATCTATTTTTCTGCTTTTTAATTTCATTTTCTAAGTGAT